AATGTTTTCTAAAGCTAAAAGAGATCCACCTGGTACACACAGGTACCTCGTTACAGCCTCCGGCCCCCATTCTCCACATACTCAGTTAGGCTGTTAAGCGCTGTTTCATCACTCTTTGATTGAAGGACATTCTCTCCTTTCCTCGAAGTCTTTTTAGTGGCCCGTGACAGCTTCCTCCTGAAGGTGTCTCCAGCCAGGAAGTACAGAATAGGATCCACACAGCTATTGAGGCTGGCCAGACCCCGCGTCACCTGATAGGTGGCATAGACGCGGTTATTAAACTCACACATGTCAGGGGTTTGGAAGTACAGCCTGGCCCTCATGTTGAGGTTCTTCATCACATGGAAAGGCAGGTAGGAGACGGCAAAGACTGCAAGCACTATGATAACTAGGTGAATGGATTTCTGCCGCAGAGGCGCATTGTTCATCTCATTGCAGATTAATGCTTTGACAATCATGCCATAGCAGCAAAAAATGACAATAAATGGGATGCAGAACCCAAACACCGTCAAAGTCATACTGTAGATGAAATACCCTGGCAACTCGTCCTCTGTGGTGGTGTCGTAACAAGTGGTTGCGTTACGTTTTAAGCCAGTCCGGGAATAGTAAAGGATGGGGGACATGCTAATAACAACCAAAACCCACACCAGTGCACTGGTAATAACTGCATTTTTCTTCTTCAGTCGACCCAGAGACTTGAGCGGGTGCACCACCCCGGTGTACCTGTGAACACTGATGCAGGTCAGAAACAGAATACTCCCATAAAGATTCACATGGAATATAAAGCGCTGCAGTCGGCACAGAACGTCCCCGAATATCCAGTCTGTTTTGTTGAAGTAGTAGAAGATGAGGAAAGGCAGTGAGAGGACGTAGCAAAAATCAGCTAATGCCAGGTTGAACATGTAGACAGAGATGCTGCTCCAGGGTCTCATATGGCAAACAAACATCCAAATGGCCAAGCTGTTGCCCACCAGCCCAGTAATGAAAACTAGGATGTAAACAGTGGGCAGGTAATAGAACTGGAAACCTGTCTTGGTGAGGGAACATCCTCTTGTGTGGTTATGAAGCTCTGTCACATTCATTAGAGAGGTCAAGTTCAAGTCTGTGGTCATGGTGTCAGGGGCAGTGGAACGTCCTTTCACTGCATGAAAGCAAAAGACACATGAGTAAATATTTAGTATCAGTTGAACTAATCTGTTTTTCACACGCTATAGGCTGGCTGCTTTGTTTAAAGATGACCTACGCCTGAATTCAAAAAGCAGTTGTGCGCACACTTGGCATTCAATCGCTTAATTTAGCAGAATTCCTACAGTCCGACAACCACTTGTGACTGAACACACACGAGCGGGGGAGTGACAGGCACATTACGGCACTCACCGTTGAGGCTGAGTTGTATTCCACATTCCTGAAGCCTTCACAGTTGGACAGATTTCAGTCAACACGCTGACGGGGCGTCACGAGCTGTCAGGTATTCCTTCCGTCTCCTTCCAGTAATGGAAATTGATTAAAAGTTGCGATTTCCTTCGGGCTGGCGCTGATACACTTTAAGGGAGTGGAAAATCTGCTGTCTGTTCGTCACGCGGGACGACGATTTCCCACAACAGCGGCAGTGGGACGCAACTGAGACAGCTGCAGGCTCTGGCATGAAGAGCAGAAAACAGGATCCGTAAAGAGAAAGGAGGCTCTTTACGCGCGAGAGGGGAGGTGCGCACACACAAAACCACCGCACGGTTCCCAAACGCATTTTCTGCTGCTCCCGCCTCCTCCTTAATCCGAAAGGCGTGCGACAATTCATTCTAAAGAAGCATGCCTATAAATAATCGCCTTTGTTTACCTTTGTTAACAATTGATTGTTATGCTAGTTAAACTCACTTGCTTACAGTTGGAGTCCGTTTCAGTTGACGTCCCTGCTGTTAAAATATAACCTACGCAGATCTTAGATTTTATTTAGCTGTAGATTCGTCTAAGTCTAGACTCACAAAGCAAAAAGTTCCCTAAATAACAACACTGTTTTTCAATTTGACATCTAGTGGGAAATGTTAACTATAAGAAGATAAATCAAGGTGATTATCTATTCAAAATATTCCGAAAGTTATTATTGCTCGGCGGTAATCGAAGAAAAACAAATACTATTTAAGTGGGAAGTGGGCAGATTCCTCATTTACTATAGTGATTTGTCATGTTCATGGGTTTGTCTTTGCAGCTCTTATTTTGCACGTTCCTGCACCATTACTGTCAAAGCTTAGACAAAATAAAGGCACTAAAAAATCTAATGTGTTTCGTATACATGGAGATCGATGATCAGTTCGTGTCTCCTGAAAAGCTGAGACAGACAGCTGGATGTGTGCAACATTGCCAAGGACAAACCAGACACTGGCAGAGACATGGAGAGGCTGGTGGAGAATAGTGAAGGCTGTGCAATGACGGAGCCAAAGGTTAAGTTAATTTAGCTGCGATGCCAAACATCTTAAAAATGGTGGAAAATGCAGCGAGCCAAGATTCAAGCAATAATCTAATGGATGGTATTAATAAGACAGACAATAAATGGCCACATTAACTTGGACGAAGATCTATCAGTGGATAAAAGA